TGCAACATTATCAAGCAGGGGAAGTTCTACCTGAACTCTGACTCCTCTCTCGCCCTGCAATGGGAGGGAGCCCTGGGCTCGAGGATCTCATGAGCTCAGGGCTCTCTCCTGGGACAGCATGCCAAACACGATTCATAATCAATCATCAGCTAAGGGCGAACTCTTGAAATTAAATAATTAAAAATCAAGACGTAATCATATTTTATTTTGGTAAAATAAGCGTAATCTAGAGGCCTTTGCCCTTTATATAAGCCACTTCTTTTGCCAAATGATCAACTAGAAGTCCATTTAATATTGTTGTTCCTAAAACTTGAATAGGCCACAAGACTTTTGTCAGGTAGTGTATTAGTGGACTAATGCAGGGCATAGTGAATCAGGGTATATAAGGTGCAACTTTTGATACAGCCAAGCATTCAGGATGCTCTGTAGTATCCGCAGGTGTCATAGTACCAATTTCTCCAGTGCACTTCATTTTATTTTGTCACCCTCAATCTTTGTTCACTCTTTACAACACTAGATAGATTAGATAAATGTCAGACTTAAAGGCCAACATGTTCGCATCTCCTGAGACGTAAATGTCACCACCATCCAGCTACAGCAAATCACAGTGTTTGTGTTATAGTTCTCCAGACAATATATGAAGGACAAGTGTTCAGTACATAGATTAGAAGATGTCATTGATTCATCTGGTTAAAGATATTTTTAATGTACTATTGGGGGTACATGTGGTTTAGAAAAGGTTACCATCCTAACTATATATGCGACATGCAATACAAGCTATCTTTTCCGTGTTAAAAGGAGCATTTTCTGCGACAGCGACTAGCAAAATTTCTATTGAGTAAACGGGTTCTATTTCTGCGATGCCAAGGCTGGACAACCACATGATCTGTTGAAATTCTTGATTCTGATTGGCTGGAGGGTGTGCATTATTTTCGTTGAAACACGCAGGTAGTTCCAGTCAGTTTTGATCACAATTCGAAATAAATGCGCTTCTCCCAAACGTTTATAATTACCATGGCAACTCGCATGTGCTGCATGGGAAATCAACGAGGGCTGTTAATGGCGGTTGGGAATCCGCAAAATTAGGAAAATACTCATAAGTTATGCCACAAAATCAAGTTTTAAGAGTTATTCAAGCACGAATATTGTTATTTTATAGTCAAATCGGCAGTTTATGTATAAGGATAGCGCGTTTAAAAATGTTGGAAGGTAAAGGCAGTTGGCGGCAGCTCTGCGAACGGTTCATCTCAGGACCTGCCGCTGGATCTACATTAATCTCTTGCATCTCTGTTGTTAAAATGTGATATATAATTAATCTTTTGTGTATCTAACGGTCAGTCTTTGGACTTTTTAACTGATTATTTGTTCTCAGGTGTATTTTTTTGGCAGATCGCAGAGGTAAGTTTCATAATTAATTTATGACCGTAAGCAACAGTTAATGCAATATTACACTGATCCAGTGTGTTTGGCTGATTGCTTTTGTTTTAAAGAAGATAAATAAAGCAGAATGTTTTTTTACTTGTCTCGAAGTTCTTGCCACGTTTTTTTTCTTTTGCTAAATTTCCCTACATATTCAACAGCAAAAGTTTCTGAAATGGGCTTTGGCTACTTTCACTTTAATCCATCTTATGTGCCTTTGAACTAGCGTTCCATAAGATACAGCTTTGTGAATGCTTTATTTCATGTGTATAGACTTGTATAGATTAATGTGTTTTAATAATCCTAATGTTATTCCACTTAAAGCAGCGAGCGCTGTCTTTTTGTTAGATCAATTCCATGAAATCAGTTTGCCTAGCCTAATACTTTGATTCGAAAGACGTATAATAACACGACTTATTTACTTTAGATGTTCAAAAATATTTGTTAAAGTGTTATTTCTAAAAACAGCATGTCAAAACTAAAGTGCGAAAGCTTAAAGTTGATAGGAAATAAATTCTCTTTAATTTCATTAGCCAATGTGTAACATTCCTAAAGCGTATTTAATTGATATGGCACTTTCAAGAGTTCACACTTAAATATTGCTTGACAACTGTTAGCAGGTTTGGCATGCTGTCCCGGGAGAGAACCCTGAGCTCGGAGATAGTTGAGCCCAGGGCTCCCGCCAGGTCCATAGAGCATGTGAGGGGAGTACGAGATCAGGTGGTTCTCGAGAGCTCCCCTTTTTGTAAAGGAGGAAATGAGGAGAAAGGGGGTGGATGGGGGGTGTCAGGGTTCAGGAAGGATGAGGGAGCAAGGACTCAAGTGCAAACAGGATGATTTATTGATAATAAAAATAAAGCAAAAGAAGAACAAAAACCACCCCGAGGGGGAAAAACATAACTATGACACTAACAAACAAACTTGGCTGGCATGACAAGAGTAGGAACACATGGGGAGTTTAGACGACGAACTGGCACAGGACTGAAAACATGAGGGGATTTTAAGCAAAAGTAAATTGACACACAGGTGAACATGACAAACTAATAATGAGTTAACAAGGAGGGTGGGACTAGACAATAGACGGGAGAGCGCATGACACAGAGAGACAACACAAGCCATGCGCTCACATAAAACAGGACAAGAACATGCAGCCAATGAGAGAACTCATTAACCGCATGTTCATGACAAGACAAGCACAACACTGAAGCACACGACAAAAGCATGTGACCACAATGTAAACACCAAGCCACGTGCTTTGACAAGAGACGCAAGACACGAGCACACGATGAATGAAAACACTCACCATGCGCTCACACACGCAGCATGCATGCTTTATCCCAGCGCCGACCAGAACCGAAACCAACTAGACTGAGACGCTGGGAATGAAACACCACGCTGCAGACAGACGAAAACACAAACACGAGTACAAGAGCGCGCGTGTCTGAGGGACGCAGAGTGCGTGCGGCCGCATCAAGCGGGAGCGCGCACACTCTGCGTACACCCACGATGGCGCGCGCGCACACAGAGACAGAAACAGGACCAGACACAGCTAGTGTCAGAGCTCTGCCACCAAAACAAGAATTTCCAAGACCAGAGTGGCAGAACCCTGACAGGGGGGTTTCTCTGGAAAACGAAGATAAGGGAGTAATATCTAGCTAGGCTACTTATAGTAAGTTAGGATAAATCTGATTGGCTAACTAATGAGTGTAGATAGGCGGCCAGCTGCGGTCAATTATATCACGTGCTTCTCTCGAAATTAGTTTAAAAACTTCACTTATTAAGATTTGTATGTTTGTTATGAAATGTAAATCGAGGAAATTCTGCTATAGGTAGCCCAGTATTAAAGGTAATGTTAAGAGAAAGCCAATATACAGAGCTCCCTCGGCAGAGAACTGGTAGAAAGTAGACAATAGAAACATGTGTAACTGGAAACACACTCCAGGTGTGACTGGGAATGTCTTTTTTGTCCACCTGTGATTGGATTGATGAAATCGCATCTTACTATTAACAGGTATAAACCATAGACTGTAAAATATATGGACGTAGTATCCGTGACGTCACCAATAGGCCAATGGCCAACCGTCGCCATTTTGTTCGCGCGTCATCACACCCATGGCGGGATAGCAAACAAGTGCAAAGAGGCGGAGAGTGAACGGAGCTACAGACACCTGCTGACAGTTTGCTTGGAACTGGTTCAGACACACTTTACTTTGGGAGAACGCTTAATACTTTATCACCTGTGACTTGTTTGTATTCTGACCACTTGTGCTTGGTTGTACACTATATCAATAAATAGTTTAGTCTTTTAAAAACACTGTTGTAATACATTGAGCCACTAAACATTGTTCTTATGATGTTTTTTAACAAAAGAAAAACGCGAATTACTTCCAAACACTTCAGATAGAGTCTGTGTTAGTAAATGTAAGACTATTGATGAAATCCAGCATAACACTGTATGACAACGCTTCAGATGACTGTTCTAGAGCCTATAGCTAATCAATTCGTCAGATTCTGCAGTGCATTACAGCTCTAAATATAAATATAAATGATAAATGATCTTAAATAAAACAAATACATAAATAGAGATGGTATATAAGTATATAACTTTACTCACATGGGAAACGGAGGCCACGTGAGTGGTTTGTGAGCACAATTAAGTGCACTCGGCATACCATGCCATCTAATAATTTTGGAAACAAGTCCAAAAGACAGTCGACTGTGTAAAGCCACATAAAACAACACAGAAATACGATAAATATGCAGAGTTCAGTGGCTAATCTGCAGGATTTAGCTGAGGTGACGTGACGGCGAACAACGAGACCTAACTGTCACTCAAGAGGCCACTCCCTTGATTATGCAAACTTAATATAACTTAATATAAAGGAAACAGATGAGTTATAAAAATATTCACCCCCCTCACAGTTGTCATGAAGGGTAATATTAGCTGTATTAACCAAAATCTTTTTTTGTACCAGACTGTAAACACCTTTTTTTCTGCTGTAGAGTTGGCCATTCAAACAGTGGGCTCAATTAAAATTTGCTCTATTTTGGAGCCAGGAGCGGCCAGAACTAGCGGAATTTCAAATGAATTGCAGTTTTAGTTACTTCTGTATTGGCTTCCTGAGGGAGAGCGGGAGGTTGCCGCTTGGTATAAACAGCACGCACATCTCTCTCTCTCTCTCTCTTTCTCTCCCTCCCTGCCTGATTCAGTGGAGGGACTAGAAAATCTAACATGTCAAAACTGACCAAAATTCGGACAAATATTGAGTTGCAAAAAGCAAAACTATTTTAAACTTACCCTCACTTTGGCAACTAGCCATGGAATAAGTGGGATAATCAACGGCTTGCTGTGCGTTAAGGGATATTAATGCACTTCACTTCGTGCATTAAAATCCTTTAACACAAGGCAAGCCGTTGATTATACCTTACTTAAATGCTACCAATGTAGCCTTGGATATCATTTTACGTGACATTTATTGGCATGTTGCGAGTTCAGATCCTCAGATCTTGAAAATGTTCAAGTTCATTTATTTATAAAGCACATTTTAAAGCAGTCACAAGACTGACCAAAGTGCTGTACATAAGACAAGTTAAAAAATAAAAAATAAAAGACATATATATAAACACAAGAAATAAAGCAAGCGAAACAACTGTAAAGATGTACAAAATAGCGGTAGAATGAACTATTAAAATAATCTTAAAAAGCCAAGCTAAAAGGTATGTTTTAAGACGTGATTTAAAAGTGGATAATGATGGAGCCAATCTGATCTCAAGGGGCAAGGTGTTCCACAACCGAGGACCTGCCACAGAGAAAGCTCTGTCCCCTCAACGTTTTAGCCTAGATTGTGGAACTGACAGAAGATTCTGCTCACTCGACCTAAGAGATCTCACAGGAGTGTAAGGATGAAGCAGCTCTGCGAGATAGAATGGGGCTAGATTATGGAGGGATTTATAAACCAGTAAAAGCACTTTAAAATCAATTCTGAATTTCACAGAAATTAAAATAAAGGTTAAATAAGGTTGTTGGAAAATGAAAGTTTGAAATGAAAGCAACAACACCCATCATTCGGTAGCCAGATATTTTAAATAATGAAGAATGCAATGTTAACAAATGCAGTGGCTGGTATTAAAATGTTTCTGTCATATCGAAACAGTCAAATTGCTTGTCGCTGGAATCTTTTCATGTTACTTGTAGTAAAGACACTGTGTTACCGTTATTACTAAAAGAGTCCAAGTATGGATGTTATCAAACGCATGTACATAAAGTGAATGCAAATCCAGACACGGCTTTGGTCACCTGTGCACATCAGCAGCGTATATTTTTCAGCACGGCCAAATCCTGTTGCTTTTTGGTTTTGAAGAGCATCACAAAGTTATAAGGGGAAATAACGCCTTGTCCGTGTTCATCGGTTTGTCCCATGACTATGTAGTTAAGCCCTGAAGAACCAAAACAAACACAACATTACATTACTAATAGCCCAATATAAATGACATATACACCTTTTGACTTGTGGCATTAAGAGTTTGACATTTAATCAGCAGATTTCTTCAAAAAGGTTTAGTCCTTTTGGAATAAAACAAAATCCCAGTAAGGGTTTCCAGGTTTACCAAAATTTTAAATATGCCATATATAACATATCAGGAAGGATACCCAAAACATTTGACCAAAGTTAAACAGTTTAAAATAAAAGCTAAAAACATACCAAGGAAAGGTCTGTAAACTTTTGACTATATAGAAACTAATTAAGTGAAGTTTATGTACAAACAAATTTCGAGAGGATCACGTGCTTATGATTGCTAGCGGCTGGATCCGCATTATCCAATTCACTACGCTCCAATCAGATGACTCCTAAACTACTATAAATACCCTGGGTTTCATTCCACTGCTATCTTCGTTTTGAAGAGTCCCCCCTTCCTCCCCTACTCCTCCTTCTTAGACGGGTGACACGGTGGCCCAGTGCGTAGCACTGTCGCCTCACAGCAAGAATGTCTCTGGTTCCTGGCTTTACCAAACTAGCAGACATTTCTGTGTGGAGTTTGCACTTCTCCCCGTGCTCACGTGGGTTTCCCCTGGGTTCCCTGGTTTCCTCCCACCGCCTAAAATCATGCAGTTAAGTCAATTGAACAATCCAAATTGGCACCATAGACACGCTTCTAGTACGTAGTTATTTTCAAGAGCAATCACTTGCTACAGCAGGGGAGTTCTCGAGATCTACCTGAGCTCAAACTCCCCTCCCGCCTTGCAACAGGAGGGAGCCCTGGGCTCGAGGATCTCATGAGCTCAGGGCTCTCTCCTGGGACAGCATGCCAAACAAGCTTTTATAATTAATCATCAGCTAAGTGTGATTTCTTGAAACATTCTCAAAAAAATTCTCTCATTATTCTAACATTTTGCAAATGTAAACCATTTAGGTAATCCTAACGGACCTAAAATAGTAAACATTTAGCATGATTTACCATCAGACATTTAAAAAAAAAAATAGTTGTTGCTTTTTTTAGAGTGTATGTAAACTTCTGGTTTCAACTATATTTATTCCCCTGCTTTTCATTTCAAAAAATTCAACTGCAAATGATTAATGTCAAACAGCTCCTCTGAAATACCAAAAACTATCCTGCATACCTTGACGCAAATTCCTCCATGGCACATTTCTAGAAATTTCCCTCAAAACAAAAGTTGCTTTTCAGAGTTTCCGAGCAGTGGCTTAATATTTTACTACTAAGTGAGCTGAGGTAAAGCATGGCACAATAAAGTCACATACCATCCATGTGGTTGCAGAAAGTTATTATTCTAGCTGTCTGTGACACAAGGAAACCAACCGAGAGCCTCTCCTGAGCAAGCTTAAGTTTCACACCCGTGACGCTGAAATGGCATATCCTGCCTGAAATATCTCAGCACTATAAGTGGAGCCAAAAGAATTTTTGGGGGGAGTTTGAAATTTGCAAACTATCACCTTCCAAAATCTACCTCAATTAACTTTAAACATCTGCTGTACTCGCCAGCTGAGATGGTTTCAATTAACCCTCAAGCATATTACAAATCGCAGCTTCATTCAGGCCAAGTGGACAAATCTGGGCACGAAGGTCTCAGGTGTGATTTTTTTTTTCCCCCAAATTTCATATATCTATTCATGTATTTTTTAAATGTTTTATGTATGCATGTAATTATTTATTAATTTATTCATTCATTCATTCATTTATTTATTTATTTCAAGAGTTCACACTTTCTATAAAGCGTATTTGGCATGCTGTCCCGGGAGAGAGCCCTGAGCTCGTAATATCCTCGAGCCCGGGGCTCCCTCCCGTTAGAAGGGCGAGAGGGGAGTTCGAGGTCAGATAGGTCTCGAGAACTCCCCTGCTTGTCACCGTAAGAAGTGTGAACTAAGGTTGTACTGGGTGAATTTGTTTTAGTCGATTGGCTATGGTTTTTGTTTTGGACGGTGGGAGGAAACCGGGGAACCCGGGGGAAACCCACGCGAACATGGGGAGAACATGCAAACTCCGCACAGAAACACCGACTGGCCCGAAAGGTTGGACCGGCGGTGTTCTTGCTGTGAGGCAACAGTGCTAGCCACTGGGCCACCGTGTCGCCCGATCAGAAAGGAGGATGAAGGGGTGGAAAGGGGGGGAGCTTCAAGACGAAGATAACTGGAGTGAAAAACTCAGGTTATTTATAATGCTTCCGTAATCATCTGATTGGGCTGATTACGGAGCTAATAAGGAGCCAGCCGTGTTGATTATAAGCACGTGATCCTCTCGAAATTAGTTTATGAATAAACCACACTTATTTATTCACCTTCAAAAGTACAAATAAAAAATGCTTTTAAATTCAGTTTTGGCCATTGATTTCCTACTGGACAAACTAGGATTTAATGAGGACTTTGAGAAACTCTAAAACAAACATACTGTATACACACACCGGCCACTTTATTAGGTACACCTGTCCATCTGCTCATGAACTTACTAAGTGTTAAACTTCTAATCAGACAATCACATGGCAACAGCTCAATGCATTTAGGCATGTAAATATGGTCAAGACGATCTGCTGCAGTTCAAACCGAGCATCAGAACGGGGACGAAATGTGATTCAAGTGACTTTGAATGTGGGATGGTTGTTGTTGTCAGACAGGCTGGTCTGAGTTTTTCAGAAACTGCTGATCTACTGTTGTTTTTTTACGCATAACCACCACTAGAGTTTACAGAGAACGGTCCGACAAAAAGAAAATATGCTGTGAGCGGCAGTTCTGTGGGCGCAAACGCCTTGTTGATGCCAGAAGTCAGAGGAGAATGGCCAGACTGGTTCGACCTGACAGAAAGGCAACAGTAACTCAAATTCTTACAACTGAGGTATGCAGAAGAGCATATCTGAACACGTCCAACCTTAAGGCGGATGGGCTACAGCAGCAGAAGACCACACCGGGTGCCACTCCTGTCAGCTTAGAACAGGTAACTGAGGCTACAATTCACACAGGCTTACCAAAACTGGACAATAGAAGATTGGAAAAACATTGCCTGGTCTGATGAGTCTCGATTTCTGCAGCAACATACGGATGGTAGGGTCAGAATTTGGTGACAACAATATGAAAATATGGATCCATCCTGTCTTGTATAAATGGTTCAGGGTGCTGGTGGTGGTGTAATGGTCTGGGGGATGTTTTCTTGGCACACTTTGGGCCCTTTAGTACCAGTTGAACATCATTTGAACATTACCTGAGTATTGTTGCTGACCATGTCCATCCCCTTATGACCACAGTATATCCATCTTCTGATGGCTACTTCCAGCAGGATAATGCGCCACGTCATAAAGCGCCAATCATCTCAGACCACATCTTTGGGATGTGGTGGAATGTGAGATTCACATCATGGATGACCAAAACCTTTGAGGAATATTTCCAGTACCTTGTTGAATTTATGCCATGAAGAATTAAGGCAGTTCTGAAATTCTTCTGACTATTACAGTATTGTATTGTTTTTTTTTCTACATTTTGTTATAGTTTTATAAAATACAAAAAGCACATAAATAAATGTAAAAAATAATGCCTAAAATATCCTCTGGCATGCTTTAGAATTAAAATGATTAACCTTGGTATTTTTGTATATGGATCAGTGTAAAGATACTCGCCTCTTCTGACCAGCGGGCATTGTTTGCAGAGGACCGTAACTTTGGTGCTCATGGTTTTCCCAGCTTGTTGGATGGCTAAATTTCCTTCTTTATAAAGGTGCATGATGGAAAAAGTGGCAAGAACGCTTTGCTCCCTCATGGCTGCTGAGATAAGAGTGGCCGTAATCACTGAGGAAGGAGAAAGAAAGAAAAAAGTCCGGTATATTCACGGAATCATGGTTTCTTTTTGGCATAAAACTGCATGTTCATGGTTATGTATGAAGTATGTATAGTCCTGCTATGCTCGCTTCTGCTGTTTTTACTGTGCTCAGCAGCTTTACTGCCGCTGCAATTAAAATAAAGGAGCTGAGTCTCAGTATCGGCCTGAACACATTTTCCATCTATAAGCATTAATAAAACAGAAACTGACTGAGAGGTTTAGTTAACTTTTAAAGCGGACCTATTATGCCCCTTTTTACATTTTTTCTGATGTCCCTAGAGTGTATATGTGAAGTAACTCATTTCTAATAACTGATTTATTTTATCTTTGCTAAGACGACAGTAAATAATATTTTACTAAATCTTTTCAAGACACTTCTATACAGCTTAAAGTGACATTTAAAGGCTTAACTAGGTTAAATAGGCAAGTATTTGTATAACGATGGTTTGTTGTGCAGACTATCAGAAAAAATATCGCTTAAAGGGGCTAATAATTTTGACCTTGAAATGGTTTTTAAAAAATTAAAAACTGCTTTTATTCTAGCCGAAATAAAACAAATAAGACTTTCTCTAGAAGAAAAACTATTATCAGGTATACAGTGAAAATTCCCTTGCTCTGTTAAACATAATTTGAGAAACATTTAATAGAGTATAGAGCATTTAGAAATTCTGATGAATTTCTAAATGCTAAAAATATGTTTTGCTATTTCCTATAGCCTGTATGTTTCCTATATGTAATATAGCCTATATTACAATTATTTTATTACAGATAGGCATTTTAGATTATCATGGTATTTACATAAATAAATAAATAAATAAATAAATACATAAATACATACATACATACATAAATAAATAAATAACTGATACCAGTATGAAATGTTATATTACTGAAGGTTTACACTAAAAATAAATCAACATTTTAAAATGTATTTAAAGAGAAAGGAGTTATTTTAGTTTGTAAAAATAGTTTTTAAATATTGTTGTTTCAATGTATATTTTATAAAAAAATACCCTTTGTGAAAATAAGAGGCATTCTTCAGAATTATTTTATAAAAAACATTATTTTATTATTTAAAAATAGATTTTTTTTTGCATCTAAATTATATTATGAAGTTATCTAATTGTAAGTATAGTACAGTTTTAATAAAGAATGAAATAATTATAAAGTGATCCCAATATTCATACTCAAAACTTCATCAAACTTAATTTGATAAAGTAATGCAAATTCATAATTTTTTTAAATGAATGAACTTCTTTTTCAGAATTGGTTATTTCATTACGAAATCAAACTAATATATATATATATATTTTTTAATATTTATTTATTGAGTTTTTGCATTTACAGTTTAAAGCATTACATTACCCCGACCCTACCAAAAACACGGCGTTGAAAGAATTAAATATATATATATATATATATATATATATATATATATATATATATATATATATATATATATATATATATATATATATATATATATATATGCACATACACACATACATACACACATATACACATCATTCCAGAGTTCCTGAGTTGACAGTGAGAAAACAGAGTGTACCATATTTGTTCAGTCCATATGTTGTCATTTAACATGAGAGGCTTGGTAACATTCAAAAGTGGGAATATACAAATGAGGTGCATCTTAATACAAAAGAAAACAAAAAAAAAGATGAATAAAATGGAAGAAAAAAATCAACAAATTAATTAATAATAATTTTAATAAAAAAAAAATCAAACTAATATTTTTAATGTCTTAATAAAAGCACTAAAAGCATGAAAAATACAGCAGTGTTGACGCCTAGAGCTGCAAAATCAAAGAAATTCCAAGAAATCCTGCTGTTGATCGAGTCTGCGGAAAGCAAAATACACATTTAAAATCAAACAACGGACACTTACCAAAGTTACTAGAGCAGTAATGACTTTCAATTGTTCCAGTCCTTTTACATTTCTGCTTGCAAAGTTCTTCTGAATATGTAAGAGCTTTTGTTGGAAAAGAGGTAGAAAGATCAGTTTCGACAATAACTCACTAGAACAGTATAAAACACACACATTTATTTCCGTCAAAGCACTTTTGTAACAAAATAGAAGCACATTAGTCTTCCCATGTGACCCGACTAATGGCTTCCATATGAAGCAAACACAATAAATCTCCGATACATTCCAATGTCATTACCTACACGCGTTTATTCCCATAATGTACAGCAGTTTTACACCGTGCCGCTACTTGCATTTTTCATGTGAATGAATCCTGGTGGACTGACCTGCGGGTGGTGTGCTGGGTGATATGGTGCCCGCGGGGGTCAAAGGGGCGCTCGCTGTGCTGGGACTCCTCCATTTAAAGCGGTAATGGCCAATGAATCCATCAGCAGTCAGACTCAAGTCGGAGAGAAACGTTATGAGGAGATGATGACCGTCTGAATGAATTGGCCTAGGAGATCAAATAAATAAATGATGTTGACTATATATTCTTTCAAAATACCTCTGTACAGTAAAGCTTTATCGACCATGCGGACACGCTTTAATAATCAGAATGGCAGTTTGTAAGTGCACCTTAAAGAAAACTGCACGGACGATTAAACGCGGGCTAATAACACAAACCAATTCTGTATTTAAAGCCTAAACGTAAACATTTATTAGGGGTAATGGGGGGAATGTAATAATGTAGCCTCAACCACTAAAGAATACATTTCGGCCCCAATATATCCTGAATATTATAGACACAAACACACGCACATTTTTAATAGATTTGTTTTTTAGGAAATAGGCTCATTTTACAACTCATCTAGGGTTTAACAGTTTAGTTTTACCATTTTTTATTTCATTTATCTGATCTCCAGGTGTGGTTGGAAAGCTTTTAGCTTTATTTAGCATAAATCATTGAATTAGATTAGACCATTAGCATCTTGCTAAAAAATTTCGAAAGAGATTTTATTATTTTTTACTTTTCTCTAGTTACATGAATGTGTACAAAGAACAACATAAAATTATTTTCTAGGCTAATAGGAGTTAGCCTTTAAACTAGGCTAAGTAATTAGCATATTTTAGGCTAGCCTATTTTAATTTTTTTGGCAAGATGTCATGGTATAATCAAACTAACTGATTTATGCTAAGCTAAGCTAAAATTGCTTCCACCAGACCCAGAAACCAGCTGAATGGATTCAAATATGGTAAAACTCAACTCTACATGACTTGTAAAATTGACCTACAGTAGGAGATCAAATATAACGTTGAATAGGAATGGACATGTATCCTTTAAAAATACCTCTGTACAGTAAAGCTTTATTGACAATGCGGACACGCTTTAACAATCAGAATGGCGGTTAAGTGCACCTTAAAGAAAACTGCACGGACGATTAAACACAGGCTTATTACACAAACCAATTCTGAAAGCCTAAACATAAACATTTATTAGGGGTAATGGGGGGAATGTAATAAAGTAGCATCAACCACTGAAAAATACATTTCGGTCTGAATATATCCTTGCACAAACACACTTTTTAAATTTATTTTTTGAAAATAGGCTCATTTTACAACTCCTCTAGACGTAAACTGTTCAGTTTTACCATTTTTTAATCCATTCATCTGATCTCCAGGTGTGGTTAGAGAGCTTTTCGTTTAGCTTAGCATAAAATCATTGAATCAGATTAGCCCATTAGCATCTTTTGTTGATGTTTTGATCATTTTCCAATGTGTACCAAGAACATGTTATTTTCTAGGCTAATATGAGTTAGACTTGAAAATAGGCTAACTATTTAGCATATTTTAGACTAGCCTATTTTTATTTTCATATTTGTTTTAGGAAATTGCAATGGTCAAATCAAATTCAATGATTAATGCTAAGCTAAGCTAAAATGGCTTCCACCAGACCCAGAGACCGCCTGAATGGATTCAAAAATGGTAAAACTCAACTCTACCTGACTTGTAAAATGAATAAATTGATCTAGAAGATCAAATATATAATGTTGCATGGGAATGGCCATATATCTTTTCCAAATATTTCTGTAAAGTAAAGCTTTATTAATTAAAAAGGTGGTTTGTAAGTGCACCATAAAGAAGAAACTGCACAGAAGATTAAACATGGGCTTATTAGTCTAAACATAAACATTTATTAGGGGTAATGGGGGGGGGGGGGGTTATATATATACCAGGGGTGTCCAAACTCGGTCCTGGAGGGCCGGTGTCCTGCATATTTTAGTTCCAACCCCAATAAACAAACCTGAACCAGCTAATCAAGCTCTTTCTAGGTATACTTGAAACTTCCATGTTAAGGAAAGTTGGAGCTAAACTAAGCTGGACACAGGCCCTCCAGGACCAGTTTGCCCACCCCTGCAATGTACCTTTACACAATCACACACTTTTTTTATTTATTTTTTTGTAAAATGCTCATTTTACAACTCCTCTTAGAGTTGTAAAATGACCTCCATTTTTGAATCCGTTCATCAGATCTCCAGTGCTGGCTGGAGCACGTATACAGTAGCTTAGCTTAGCTTAGCTTAGCATAAATCATTGATTCAAATTAGACCATTAGCATCTTGTTCAACAAATTCAAATGAGTTTTAATAATTTTTCTTACATTATTACTTACTTTATTTTGTACTAAGACCAATAGAAAATTGTTACCATACTCTCATTCTGGCATAGTAATAAAGGAACTTAGTTGCCATACCATGCAGCGGACACAATGCTTATACACAGTGCAGTTACCTAGTTACTTAGCTGGGGACTATTTTCAGGTGCTGCGTAATATCTTGTGCTTGCTGCAGCCATGGCTCATAGCCAAAGTTCCTTTTATTGTTGTACCAGAATGAGAGTAGTGTTTTTTTAGACATTTTTGAAACATTTCATTTTGCATCAGTCTTAACGTATCTACGAAAGTAGGAAAAAAGAAAAAGTTATCAGAAATCTTTTTTCGAAACATAATGGTCTAATCCATCAAGCATCTAAACTAAGCTGAAAGTGCTCCCACCAGACCCAGAGATTGGCTGCATGAATTTAAGTTAACTTGTAAAATGGGCCTATATTCGAAAGCAAGTGGAGTACTCCTATAAGTAAATTGAAAATATACAGAGTGCTATATTGTGTAATTAAAAGGTATATACACTTTTAAAAAGTATTTCTAAAATAAAAATAAATAATCATGTTTCATAATTAGGCAAGTTAGGTTAATTAGAATATTTTTTTTTACATCTTAAGGGGTCTAATAATATTGACCTTGAAATATGTTGAAAACTGTAAAAACTGATTTTATTTCAGCCAAACAAAAAAATAAGAATAAATAAAAAATAGGATAGGAAATTTTGTAAAATGTTTCTTGTCCATTAAACATCAATCGGGAAATATTTGAATAAGAATAAAAAATGTGTATATACTGTGTTTGTATATGTGTAATATGTATATATATATACACATATATATGTGTGTGTGTGTGTGTGTGTGTGTGTGTGTGTGTGTGTGTGTGTGTGTGTGTGTGTGTGTGTGTGTCCCTATCTGGGCTTGCCACAGCGGAATGAACCACCAACTTATCCAACACGTTTTTACGCAGCTGATGCCCTTCCAGCCGCAACCCATCTCTGGGAAATAAATGTAATATTATGCGTCTAAATAAATATATTTTCTTCTTGAATTTGTAGCTCCCTATGTTTTACTTTTTATAGTTGTTGTTGTTGATAAAGGGAAGAAAAAACTAATTGTATACAAGATATGTAAGTTTCTTTCTGTATGAGAGATTATGTTAGTTATATATGTATAAAAATTATATATATATATATATATATATATATATATATATATATATATATATATATATATATATATATATATATATATATATATAATGTATCCTAACCAACAATATCCTAGCAAACAATAATACACCAATGGAAAGTATATTTATTCAACTTTCAGATGTAAATATGTGTGTGCCATATGGCAGGTTTTGTGGTCCAGGCTCACTTATATAGTGTCAATTCACTGTCCATAGTGAAAAATATAAGCACTAGTACTGTATATTATGTAATACGTTCCATTACATTTTCCAGTATAATCACATACATTTCTGTTGGGGGTCAATGTCTGTGGCACATAAACACTGAGCAGGTTGTAAATCATATATTAATGCATGCGTGATGGACTGAGGGTCTCACATGGGTGGGCTGTCTCCGCAGAACTTGCCGATCTTACGTGTCTCATTAGTTTCTCCCCCATTAAACACAGCCACATGGTCATAGCGGCAGTTGCTGTCTCTCTCCACATCAAACTTCTCAAACTTCAGCTCAATGATCTGCGAAGGGGAAGTTACTTTGCAATTTAAATAAGACATTTATTCATACTCGTCCTGTCAAGACGCTGTCAGCCATGCATGAAAAGCAGAGGAAGAATGAATTATCACCTGGTCTAGAGGAGCAACAATATGCCAGGAACACGTTACTCCCGGCGGGTAGTCTTTATCTGGCCAGTTAGGGGTCTTTATCGTCCCAGAGGGTTTGTCTAGAAGACCCCCGCAGTACCGGTCAACTGTAATGAACAATAATCAGTTATTAGTGTTATGTAGTGTAACATTTTAAATGTGTTTGAGTAATGAATTCAGACACCAGTGTTGGGGAAGCTATTCTGAAACTGCAGCTAAAAGAAACACTCTTTAATTTTTGCAATTAGGTTCATTTTCCAAGTTACATAGAGTTTAACAGTTATTTTTTTTAATCCATTCAGCTATTCTCTTGATCTGGCAGGAGCGCTTTAGCTTAGCTTAGCATTATTAATTGAATCGGAATAGACCATTAGCATCCCGCATTGCACACTGGAAGTCGTCTTTTTTTTTACATTGAATGAACTCTTATGTGATCAATTCTATGTACATTGGGGGTGACCTATGCCTCAAGTGTAAACTTAATGACATTTTACAATGGGTGTGAGTATTTTGAGTTCTGAATGGGGTATTAGCAAAACAACAGCCAGATAAGAAGGTCCTGCTGAGCTTAGTAAACACAGAATGTTTGTAGCTAGTATAAAGTTCTGTCTCCCAAACAGTATTTAGGGTAAAGGTGCTCTTAATTGGCGCAGTTCTGTTGGCTGGCCCTGGTCCGGTTGGAAGAGGTGTGCCAGAGCGCGGTTCAGATGGGCCTGAGCCCAAAAACTGAAGCTACAATGTCACTTTTAATGGACTGTTTTATATACATTTATTAATCATTCTTACTGTTCAATAATTCAAAAAATGTACATACATTTCCTTGTTTTTTAGCTTTGCTTTTAAACTATATAATTTTTTTCAAATGTTTTGGGTATACTTCCTCAAGCTTCTCACACAAATTTGAAGGAATTTTGGCCCATTCCTCCGAACAGAATTGGTGTAACTGAGTCAGATTTGTTGGCTGTTTTGCTCACACAAACTTTTTCAACTCTGCCCACACATTTTCTATAGGATTAAAATCAGGGCTTTGTGATGGCCAGTCCAAAACATTCACTCCATTGTCCTTAAAGCACATTTTAACTCATTTGGCAGTATGCTTAGGGTCATGTTCTGTTTGGAAAACCCATTTGTAGCCAAGTTTTAATTTCCTGGCTGATGTCTTGAGATGTTGCTTCAGTTTTTCATGATGCCGTCTATGCTTTGGAGTAGACCAGTCCCTCCTGCAGCAAAACAGCCCCACAACATGATGCTGCCGCCCCCATACTTCACAGTTGGGATGGTGTTTCTAGGCTTGTAAGCTTTCCCCTTTGTCCTCTAATTGTAACACTGGTCATTATGACCAAACATTCATTCATTAATTCATTTTCTTGTCGGCTTAGTCCCTTTATTAATCCGGGGTCGCCACAGCGGAATGAACCACCAACTTATCCAACACATTTTTACGCAGTGGATTCCCTTCCAGCTGCAACCCATCTCTGGGGAACATCCACACACGCACACACACACTCATACACTACGGACAATTTAGCCTACCCAATTCACCTGTACCGGATGTCTTTGGACTGTGGGGGAAACCGGAGCACCTGGAGGAAACCCACACGAAGCAGGGAGAACATGCAAACTCCACACAGAAACGCCAACTGAGCCGAGGTTCGAACTTGCGACCCAGCAACCTTCTTGCTGTTAGGCAACTATGGCCAAACAGTTCAATCTTAGTTTCATCAGATAGGACAAGTCTCCAAAAATTATTCTCTTGCCCAGTGTAATGTAGCAAATTGTAATCTGGCTTTTTTGTTGATTCTTGCTTGTTGATTTTCCCATGTTGTCACACAAGGAAGCAGTGGTTTGAGGTTTTCCTTAAATACTATTCTACAGTTCTGCCTCCAACTAACTCAAATGTTGTCAATTAGCCAATCAGAAACTTCCAAAACCTAGACACCATCATCTGAGCTTTTTCAGAGCCATATGAATCTTATTATATGTAAACTTGACTTTCAAAAAAAGTTATAACAATTTCTTTAAAAAAATGTCTCTCGCATTATTCTGCTATTAAGCATTACAGAAACAAATTTGATAATCCTGATTACGATAAATATTTCATCATATCCAAATACTTTATAAATAATATTTCAAACCTTCTCTGGTGTATATTGTTTTCAGAAAATATCTAATCTTTTTTTTCAGACAGGCCTTTGTAAAATGAAAGTTTAATATGGCTTTAAAATGGTTTGATTTATGTACTGTATACACTTAAATTGTTATAGCTAACTTTTGTTTGTTTTATACTGGTTTATTTATTTAATGCAATTTTATTATATACGATATTTGTGATTCTTTAAATTATTTCAATATAGATTAGGCTATTTTATCTGGATATGACACTTTTGTTTAGCGTCTACAAAAGTGGACACGTACTTTGTAAAGTTTTAAGTCTTTCTGTTGTATTCATATATAATCTCCAAATTGAAAAAATAAATAAAAAGCCACTTGCGCCATAAACAGAGCTGTGAAGGAAGCGCTCTTTTGCTCGGTCTCACATTCACATACAGGCATCTAAATGCACACAAACACACCTTTTAAACTTGACAAAATATCTCGACAACCTTTACTGTCTGCTGTTTCTTTAATATAGTGTAAAGATTATTATGCGTCATTGAAACATCAAGGAGGACACAGCAAAGAATGTCACTTATGAATTAAAACTTTATTATTTTATACAACAGCATTATATTTAAAAGGGGAAAGATAAGGGCGATCATACGCAAAAAGACCCCAGCCTATAAGGCTACATGTTTTCTTTAGCTATTAATAGGACTTCCATAGTGGGGAAAAAATACTTGAAAGTCCCAGCAACCAGAATCTTTCCAAATATCTTGTTTTTGTGTTCAACAGAAGAAAGAAGCTCAAATAGGTTTTGAATGAGTGAAGTTGAGCAAAGGATTACAAAATTAAAATTTCTGGGTGAACTATCCCTTAAAGATGTGTTCCAAAGATGCACAAAGTTTATAGAGCTTTGGAACAGTCAAAATGTGTGTGTGCAATGCAGTAAACAGTAAGCAGTAAGCTTGCATTTCCTAATTTTTAAAGGATTCAGATGACCTAACGTGAACAGTAAATCACAGTCAAGCTGATTTTAAGTAACAGGGAAGGGCCACGCTCTATATTTGGCTGGTAATCATTTGGTAGTCTCGTTACCTCTTTCATTTGGGCGGATCGCTGAGTATACAGCAAGAAAACCACTCCCAGCTGTGTTGGCGTCCGACACCATGACCACTTGCATCTTGTTTCCATTGGTGACCAGTGCTCTGGGTTTGGCGGTACCACAAAAGCGGCCGAGACGCTGCCCGTTGATGTGGCCATCATATACATCAACAAAGTCGTATCTGCAGAGACTATCACTCTCAAGATCCAAAACTCGGAACAAGAGGGACACGAGCCTCCCCTGAGGAACCTAAAGATGGGTTTCACAAGAGTCAACGCAATCTCAAATATGAAGATTTTTTTTAATTACTTGAATTATGTGAATTGGTGGCAGATATTTGAAATCCCATTCAATGTTGCATTCTTATCTTTTTCTAAACACAGTACAAATTATATGAAGCAACTGTTGCTCTTGGGATCTTATAAATCTGTAGTTTGTTTCTTAATCCCTGTCTTCAAAAAGTTACTTTTGTGTAAGATTTTCTTTAGCCGCAGTACCAGAAATGACCACCAGATTTTAATGGACTTTACAAAGGCATCCCCTATAATTTAACGAAAATTAAAAAAAAATTTCATTCTTCTGACAATATTTGTGAAGTAGACAAAAAAATTATGAACTAGTATGAACAGATTTGAATTTAGCCTCTAAAAACATCTAAAATCATGAAAACAAAAAATGTGCATGTGGATTGCTTTAGCGAAGTAATGCTTTATGAACCGGAGTGTCCCTGTTGCAAATAATAGATAATTGCTCAGTAATATCTATCAAAAATTTATCACAAAATATAGAAATTACTAATTCTAAGCTTTTAGATTTACACACACACACACACACACATACACACACATACACACACACACATACACACACACACACACACACACACACACACACACATATATATATATATATATATATATATATATATATATATATATATATATATATATATATATATATATATATATATATTTAGTCATGATTGCATTGAATTGTGTTTAGACTACAATATTATGGTTTAAAAATTTAACTGTAAATGGCCCCACAGGTTGTAGGGTCACAGAAATGTTTTTTAATCTGTTTAACTCCTCCTACATTTAATAAAAAAATTGGGGTAAAAAATCTTAGTTAAAACGGAAACGTTTTCAACAACATAGCTTGTCATGATTAGATTAGGATTTAATTGCAAAAGATACCATTCTAGTTTCAGGATTACCAAATCAATTAATTTTCTTAGTACCAATAAAGCATAAAAACACCCCAAATTGAAAGTATTATTTCCATAAATGTAACTAGCTTACAAATAATTTTTGACAAATATTTCTAATAAATCATGTTTAAAATGGGATAATAATAGTGAAGCATGTGCTGTTACTTTTCTGTAACAAAAAATGGAAGAAACCGCCATAGCAACCGCCTAGCAACAGAAGCATTATGGCAGTGGTAATTATTTATAAAAAGCATCTTTACTGTTTTTAAGGTCATTTAAAGAAATCACACATCTGTCCTTACTGTAATTCTCCACACACATTTGTTGTTGGGTGGGTAAACAGCGGGGTACCCTTGACTCCCAATCATTCCTGTGTCTCCAGTAAAGTTCCCGCCACATGTAAAAGCTGGTCTAACAGGGGCAAAGCACATAGTTCCGTTTTCAAACACTCCATATATGATGTTATGAATATATAAATGCGTGTCACAACGAACAACGCAATACTAATACATTTATACATACAAAGGTTGTACAAACTGTAGTTACCAAGCAAACATAATTATGGCTTGTTCTTCTTTACTACTTTATGTTTAAAGTTTAATTAGCTACTTTGAGAGCCACGTGTAGGTATATGCTGGCTTCTAAGTATTTATTTAGTAATTTATTTCCACATACCTTCGACGTCCTTGCGTAAAAATGACGCTGAACAGAAAGGTGCTCGCGATGCTCCAGATTATAATCCTCATTGTATGAGGCGCGTTTGAACAAATGTGACATTCAGAGAAAAAGAAGTGAATTCTCCAGAGGTACTAAACTGTTGACTGACTGACTGACTGCTCATGAATGTGCTGTTTGTTCTGCTGGAGCCGGAGGAAGCAGTTTCCCTAAGTCATGTAAGTGAAGGCAACTCGTGTCACATCCACGCTAAAAGTATTACAGTACGCATGTAGTTGAGTGTACTGTAACTTTCTGTTGTATATTTATAATTATAATATTGGGAGCCTAAAACAGATTAGCTAAGTTTAGTTTATGAAAATGTAATTTATTGTGTGATATATGTGTGTTATTAATTGTGTGTTTGCGAAATATTTGGTTATTTTCTCTATACATCATACAATATGAACAAAAAACGTACTTTTAGCCACTTTTAAAGTGCATGTAAATTAACAGCGAGTGTATTCAATGCTGATTTACCTCGTTTCACCTCACGCTGATGAAAGACCACTAGATGTCTACCTTGCTCAAGATTTTATCTCACTTGTTGCGTTTAACCTAGTTTATTTTAATATCATTAAACTTTGTAAATTAATGAATACTGTTTTAAAACAACAAAGTGGTTTTATATAGCTTCAAACTGGTTACATTGGTGTAGCCATTAAAAAGTGTCATTATCATGACTAAAGGGATAGCTCACCCCAAAATTTTAATTATCTCATAGTTTACTCACCGTGTGGAAACTTGAGTTTCTTTCTTCTGCTGAAAACAACAACAAAAAGATATCTGAAAGAATGATGGTTGTTGGCACCCATGAATCAGTAGGAAAAAAAGTTAGCATTTTTTCAAATATCTTTTTGCGTTCAACAGAAGAAAGAAACTCAAATAGGTTTTGAACAAGTGTAGGGTAAGTAGGGAAGAGCAGGGATGAACGTACAATTAAAAAAAAAAAACATATTTTTAAAAGATAATGTTTTAGACAGAAATGTATTTTTGCTCTGGTTACTAACTCATACATGTGGTCAATTAGTATTGGGTGGTATTTTGAACAAATGTACAACAGCTTCAAAAACAAACAATAAACAAAAGTTGCACATTGTTACTTTTGACCCTGTCGTAGGCACAAAAGTAACACACCAGTGGATCAAAAGTAACACAATATTTGCTAAATTTACTAGCCTAATTATGGAGGACGAAACCTGCAAAAATAATACATAAATAAATACGCAAATAAATAAATGAGTAAATAAATCCATAAATCCCTGCATAAATAAAACAAATTAATAAATTAATATTCAAATAAATAAATAAATAAGTAAATAAATCCCTGGATAAATAAAACAATAAATAAACAAATATGCAAATAAATAGATGAGTAAATAAATCCATAAATCCCCACATAAATAAATAAATAAATATGCAAATAAATAAATAAATGAGTAAATAAATCCATAAATCCCTGCATAAATAAAACAATAAACAAATAAATATACAAATAAATAAACAAATCAAAAATGAGTAAATAAATCTATAAATCCTTGCATAAATAAAACAATAAATAAATATATAAATAAAAGAGTCAATAAATCCATAAATCCTCACATAAATAAAACAATGAATAAATATGCAAATAAATAAATAAATACAATGAGTAAATAAATCCATAAATCCCCACCTAAATAAAACAATAAATAAATATGAAAATAAATAAATAAATGAGTAAATAAATCCATAGATCCCCACATAAATAAAAAAAAAATATGCAAATAAATAAATGAGTAAATGAATCCATAAATCCCTGCATAAATAAAATAATAAATAAATAAATATGCAAATAAATAAACAAATGAGTAAATAAATCCATAAATCTCCACATAAATAAAACAATAAATAAATAAATTTGCAAATAAATAAATAAATAAATAATACTCTATATTTCACTGACGGTCAGAGGGTTTGTTTTGCATTTCTCTGATAGAATGAAAACACAAAGAAGCACGAACACAATGTTCCATAACCAGATGCAAAACAGCTAGAATGCTGTTATGTTTATAGATTTTGTGAGCCAAAGTTATCCCAGAGGAAAACTTATTGCTCCGAGGTTGTTCCTTCATATAACTCAGAAGATGAGTTTTTGTGTGTATGTGTGTTTCGTTTTAGTATCATCTTTAAAAAGACTTATAAAATGAGAAATCCCAGCAAATGAGGCAATCAGCGCATAATAAATCTACATTTTATGTAGATTAATCCTATAACAAAATTTGCATTGTTGTTGGAATCTCTTCTGATGCTCTGTAAATCAGGCACGCATTGGTTTTAGAGATGACAATTCTAAAATTGCTTTGCAATAAATCTCTCCGCCATCTTGGTGAAACCTATATAAAATATCTCATTTGTGATTCTCTCTTCTAAATCAGAGCAGATTGAATCCTAGTGTGTGTCCTTCCCGGAAAGACAACAACCCTTATCAGAGAAGCAACATGTGGGAGGAATTCTCTCTTCGCCCCGAATATTACATACAGATTTGAGCAATTTCCTGCTGACCAAATGTTTGTTGATTGCCCTCTAGCATAACTTGGCCCACCGCAAAATGTGGATAAGTGATTTTTACGGCGCACTTACATGGCTTTATTTATTGTACTTGTCTCCGAGCCCTGGCACCGCCTTCCAATCGGCCTCTGGCACCGCAGACAAGGGCTTCCATTTGGGCTCAAGCCATTCGCTGGATTAATATCAGGCTTAATGGAACGAGATGTGACCGTACAGCCAAGTGGGTGACAAATAATTCATTAATGCAAACTGCTAGCCCAGGGGAAAGCACTGACCTGGTAATATTTACTCAAGCGTAAATTAGCATCTAATGACTCCACTACAGGTAGTATGTGCAAAGGGGAAGCGACGACAGGAAATGGACGGTAATCAGCTTTGAAAGGAGATCAGATTACAGTGTTTTTGGTTAAGTTTTAAGCAGATGTGGCCTCGGAATGGATATCAGAATGTCTTTCTCTGTAAACTATTTACACGTAAACAATTTCAGCCGAATTCAAGCTACCCTCCCTCTTTTTTCAAACAGGACTTGAGTTTCAAATGTGCACATGGAAGTCATGAAGGCCATTACATGGTTTGTTTTTGTACGCGAGGGTCCAAATATCACATGTCGCTTTATGCTTCTGCTGGAGTCTGTGTTATGGTGAAGCCGGGTTTTATTTCCCTGGATAGTTTGTCGGTGTGGCAGTCTTATAGAATGGTGCCCAACCCCCTGGTAAGCTGGTTTTCATTCACACTGTTATCCGAGCCCACTCCCAAAAGACACACAGTCAAACGATGCCAGACCCTGCTCAGTGTTTGATCTACAGCTTTAATTGATTGAAAACTGCGATGGCTGCCTTTGAGGGAAGCTTGGGATTGAAGGAGACACGGATTTGGATCACTTAGTCCTTCCACCAGCTGTTATCAATTCAGAGAAAAGGTCTCAAAACAATGCTGGATAAATAGCAAATGAGAACTCGGGGTTGGAAAAACTGATCAACGGCAGTGAATGTTTAGCAGCAACCATAATGTCGGTTCTTGAGTTGCACCTGTTCGGTACTGGGATTTAGTCTAATAAGCTGACTGTATGTAAAAAATAAATAAGAAAGGAAAGGGTTTGTGCCAAAATCTAGTGCTTCGGGATTTACTTATAATGAAATCTTCTGTAGAAAAAAATGCCTTTTTGGGTGATATTAAAATTTTTAAAAAGGCAGCTGTGAGCCCATGAAAAAAAGAGCATGCTATCTCATTATTATTAATAGCAAAACAACATAAAAGAGCAAATCAGTCTTAGTGATATTGGTTGGTTAGTTTATAATGCTAATAATGTTTTTTTTTTTTTTTTTTTACAATTTACAGGAAAAGTGTTTTGCTGGAACAACAAATCTTTCACTTTTTCAGCGACTGGTCTTGTGCCCTGTGAAATTCAACCATCCCAATAAGTATAAGCATGCTGCTTTTAAATGTCTAAAGCTTCCATTTTGGTAATTGGTCTGGAACATTTGCTATGATTTATCTATTGTACAGATCTATTATACAGTACCAGTTAAAAGTCTTTGGTCTGTACTTTTTTTAAAATAGTCATATAATAAATAATACTTTTATTTATTCAAAATGCATTAAAATGGTCAAATTAAGGAGCAAAAAAAAGCTACATTTATATTAGATACATGTACTAGGGCTGTCTAAAGCATAATCGAAAATCGCTGTTTCTTATGTAGGCCTGTTAGTAAACAAAAGTAAGTCTTATTGAACTTAATTTATTTTCATCACCAATTATCATAGTAGAACAGTTTCTCAAGCAGTTTGTGATGCATTTTGGAAACAGGAGATAACCCCCTGGTCTAATGCGCCAACTGGCTTGAAAAACCCGTTCTCAAACTTTTAGTCATTATTTGGGTAGGGCACATATTTTGAATGCCTTCGGCAGAGTTCAAATAAGCCATTTTAATCTAGATTAATCTATATTACTATGAGATTAATTTTTGATTAAACAAAATTAATCTATGTCCACCTATAATATATTTATATTAGGGTTGGGTACATAGTTGATCCTCTGATCAACTAAAAACCTCCGCAATCCTCCGGCCTGCCCCCTTCACAGCAGCAACCTTCTTGCGAAAATACACACTGCCCTGTTTATACTAATACATCTTAGTTTTAAAATGGCATTTTAGAACAAAAACGATCTACGTCCACACTGGCGTTTCATCATGCATTTCTATAAAGATCTCTCTGTTCACACTATACTAATGAAAACGCACACCACACACACACACACACACACAAACTCTGTCATTTGCTGCAGCATCAGTGCTCCAGCGGTCAGCCCAGAGTGCAGTGCACGTCGGACAGTTTATCAAGGATGTACTGCTGGATCGCGTCTCAGTATAGTTGTTAAACGTGATATTTAACTCATCTGGTCTCTATCTAACAACTCTTCTGTCTTTTGAGTCTATCAGGTAACAAGTCACAGCGTCAGTACACTGCTTCAATCATTAGCTGTCACGCTAGTATTTATTAATTTCAGCGAAAACCTCAGATACTGTTGGTTGGTTCCTGTTAGTTGTGCACCTTTTTTACCAACCAAGTTTGTCGACATGGATCACTCTGCCTATTCTAGCCAGACAGCTGTGGAAAAAGTGATTGACAGGTTTGTAACTTATCTTTATTTATTTATGATT